ACAAAAATTCAAGCACAACTTACTAGAATTTGTGGGATGCAATGAAAGCAGTTCTCAGAAGAAAATTTATACTGGTGGACTCATACTTTAGGAAAACAGAACAAGAACAAATAAATACCGTATGCTGCACTTCAAGCATCTAGAAAAAGAGCAAACCAAACCCAAAGACCAAAAACAAGAGAAAACTATAAAGTTTAGAGCAGAAATTAATGCAACCGAGACAGAAAACAATACAAGAAATTAATGAATCAAAAAGCTGGTTCTTTCAAAGATTAAACAAAATCGATAAACCCTTAGATAACCTCATCAAAAAGGGCTGAAAGAGAAAACTCAAATTCAAGCAATAAGGAACGAAAAGGGTGAAATTACTACAGATCCTGTAGAAATTCAGAGGATCATCAACAGCTACTTTGAAAATCTTTATTCTCACAGAATCAAAGACACAGAAGAAATGGACAGATTCCTAGAAATATATAAATTACCAACTCTGAATAAGCCAGTATCAGCTAACGAAACTGAAAATGTAATAAAAAAAAAACTTACTGCCAAAGAAAAGCCCAGATCCTGATGGATTCACAGTGAAATTCTACAAGAATTTTATAGAAGATATAGCCCCCATACTCCTCAAACTCGTCAATCAAACTGAAAAGGAAGCAATCCTCCCAAAATTGTTCCTGGTTGCAAGCATTATACTGACACCAAAACCAGAGAAAGGTTTAACCAAAAAAGAGAACTACAGGCCAATCTCCCTCATGAACATAAATGCAAAAATCCTCAATAAAATCCTAGCAAACAGAAAATCATGAAGATTATATACCATGACCAGGATTCATTCCAGGGATGCAAGGATGGTTCAACATACAAATCTTTTTTTTTTTTCATTTCATAGAAATATATTTTATTTTATTTTTTATGTATTTTTATTTTAGTTTATTGAGAAACAAGTATCAATGAGACAGTTTCAAAACTGATTAACAGGACAGTTTCAATAATTAATACATTGTATATTGTTATCTTCTTAGTGGTTGTCTGTAGTACAAGATGCAGAAAGAATATCCTGTCCAAACACTATTAGTACAAATGCTTTTCATTGAATTAAGTGAAAGTAGCTGTATGTCTATCCTAACTATTCTGCATATAGATACAAAATGATCCTTCCTTTGTACCCCCTTTTGTCTGGTTCTGTCAGAAATGGGTATTCCATTGGCATCTAAATACTACAGGTGTGTGAATTCAGCAAAACAAATCTATAAACGTAGTACACTGTATCAATAGAATGAAAATAAAAAACCACATGATCATTTCAATTGATGCAGAAAAGGCTTTTGAGAAAGTCCAGCACTCATTCATGATCAAAGCCCTACAGAAAATTGGCATAGATAAAAGCCATCTATGACAATCCAACAGCCAATGAAATTCGAAATGTGGAAAATCTGAGATCTTTTACTCTCAAATCATGTACAAGACAAGGATGTCCTCTATCACCACTTCTATTCAATACAGTTCTGGAATTATTAGCTAGAGCCATTAGACAAGAGAGAGAAATAAAAGGAATAAGAATAGGTAAAGAAGTTAAACTACCTTTGCAGATGACATGATATTCTACCAAAAAACTCCACCAAGAAGCTCCTAGAATTAATAAGCAAATTCACTAGCATAGCAGGTTACAAAGTCAATACCCCAAAATCTGTAGCATTCCTCTACACTGATAATAAACATACTGAAAGAAATTACAAAAACAGTACCTTTCACAATAGCACCCCAAAAAATGAAACACCTAGGACTTAATCTAACTAAGGAAAGAAAAGGATTAAGGAATGGAGAGAAAGGAGAAAAGAAAGGAAAAAAGTTAGGGGGACAGTGTTTGTAAATAGGATATCCTGTCTGCATCTCGTACAGCAAATAACCACTAGGAAGAGAGTATGCAATGTGTTAATTATTGAAACTGTCATAAAAAAAAAAAAAGAAGACAGGAAGCGATACAAAGAAACAAATTCTTTCCTGCATCTGAAAGACTTCTCTGTTTTTAATTTGGTAGATTATACCTGGACATAATTTAACATTTTAGATTATAAGTTCTTAAAATGTTAAGATGCCAGGATAACTGTAGAAGGCAATTATAAACTTTATATAAAAATATATGTATCTTTTCTTTTAAAAATAAATTTTCTCTTATTTTTCTCCTAAAAAAAAAATAAAGGTGGGGGAAAAACATGCAAGTATATATACAGGATGGCTAAAGTGATTGTACTAACAATTTTCATCAGTTTCTTAAAAAGAGCAGTTAATGTGTAAAATTTTCACGTTGACTAATTCTGTATACTTATATCTGTGAATTAAGCAACTACATAAGAATATAGTAATGTGTAATATAATAACCATGCTTCAATAGCTGTTGTCTTG